ATCCTGGCTTTCCAAAAGCAGAATTAGCTGGCTATTCCATGGTGTGGGCAGTGAATGTCAGTAATCCTGACAAGAAGACTGAACTACAATTTAGATTCAGAAAGCTTTAAATACAGGTAACTAAATACAGACTTTATATAATAGGATGCTTTTAAAGGCCATATCCCATTTCAGTCCAAGAACAAAAGTGCTTATTTTTCCATAAATATTTATAGAGCTTTCATGTACATGTATACAATACACAATGTTGAGAACAAAAACCCCACATCTATGGTTAGCTCAGGTCAAACTACCACCCAACAAATAGATTCTTGCAAACAAGAAGTTGATAAAATGCACAACTGCTGGCATATGCCACTGATGGAAGGATTAAAGCGAGAAAGGCCTTAGAAAATAGAGAAACATTCTTGTTTGACTGGCTCAGATTTAACCAATTGATTGTTCTGGAATATCCATTTCAGAATGCAAATCAAATGACTGCACAGATGTTTAAGCCTGCCTGAAAGACTTGATTCATTTCCTACCCCCACCTCCCCACCCACAAAAAATAGCCTTGAAATTTACCTGTTCCTTTACTAGCAGGCAAGTTTAAGTGCTAGTGGGGGTGTGTGTAATATCTTAATAAAGATTACTGTTCTGAAAAAAAAAAAAAAATCTTACATTACATAGTAGTAGTTTCAAAATTTTATGGAGAAAAGTGAAACAAATCAACATCAACTTAAGGCAGTCACTGATGCACCTATCAGCTGCTGTTTTCTGGATGCATTGTACAATCCAACAAAAATATACAAATTTGTTTTCCACTGCTCAAAGCTCAGCCACTTCACTATTATAAATCACTTATATTGCTGTCGTACCTAGAAGTCTCAACTACCTTACGGCTCTGTTGGTGTAGCCAATCATGTAGACCAGTGATTCTCAGCCAGGGTGTCTTAAGATCCTTCCAAGGGTGCCACAGGATGCCATACAAGGTTTACACACCTAGTAGTGCTAACACAGTTAAGATAAACCCAGAATGGGTGTCTGTACACATATTCCAGGGCTTTCAGGAGCCACTCTAATTAAAGGGCCTGTAGCATCTCACATACTCAGCCTCCCTACAATTCAATACAGCAGTGGGGGCACTTAAACTAAAGCTTGTTGAAGTTTTAGTTAAAGTATTCCTGATGCCATTTTGAAGCATGGGGATGCTGAATACAAGCAATACCAAGGCTGCTGCAGCCTTGGTTAATAGAGTCGGCTCCAACAAGTTCCAATTAGAACGTGTCAGAGCAGATGTTGGGCATGTGTATAGGTGCCCAGAGATTTAAATAGAAATCCATAGTGTTAAAAACACTCCTCTCCTGTTGTGAACTTTAAGAGTTCTTTGCAACAGATGAACTGCTCTATAAATTCCCCTAGTCAAAAAGAGAGAAGAGAAAGTGTGTAAAAACTAAGAGCTAGCATTTTTCAAGGGGTGCCTTGAGTCTAACAAGGGATGCCTTCAATCTAACAAGGTTGAGAAACTTTGCGTTAGACATTAGTTCTACAAGGCTTTACAATACTACATTGAACTGCAGTTATATAAGAATAGCAATTTCTTATTCAGCAGATTTACTCTGTGCTGTGAATATTCATTATTATATTGGCTTACTTTACAGATTATTCACAGAAAAAAAAGTGGTCTTGCAGATGCAATTCACATAAAAAATTCTGAGCAGCATTTTAACCTTTCTTGTGCACCAACTACGCAGAAAAAGTTTGGAGGGCTGTCAGTCTGTAAAAATATAAAACATTTTACTTGTCCACTTAGACCAAAGTGGATAACAACCATGATTAAAGTAATTTTTTAAATGTCATACAGGATATTTTTATTAAATCTATTATTTACCTTTTTCCATTCTATAGTCCTCAATTACTGAAGTATATACATTACCAAAGTATATAATTTTAGTTTCCTAATCAATGTAGAAACTCAGATTTGACTTAATTTTACTTAGAAGTATCATATTGATAATGTTCACATATGCTGAAAGAGTCCAGGATATCTCCAACAGCTTAACTGAGATACACTTGCATCTTGATTTTAACAAGCAAACAGCCCCAGCTACATTTGCAAAACTGCATTTTGGGGTATTAAAAAGTTTGAGTCAAGGACAGTGAATGGCTTCAACTAGGATCAGCAAATTGAAGTCAGTGGGAACTGCCATATGTCACTTGACATATTTACAATCATTCCACCTATTGGAAAGACAGGATTTCTTAGGGTGATATCTTTTACTAGCCAGTTGGCCATCAGGAATGACAGGGGGGGCGGGTGGAAATGGAGCGCCGCCACCTACCACCCTGCACCTCCACCATCTCCCAGGAACAAGCGGGGGAGAGGGAGAAGCTTGCCCCACTGTCCCCTCCATCCCCCTCAGCATGCTGCCGTCACCTGCAGGGAGCAGGGCTGAGGGAGGGGCAGCAGCAAGGCCAGCCTTGCTCCCTGAAGGTGGCAGCCCTGGCCCTGCTCCCTGCAGGCGGTGGCAAGGGCAGGGGGGGAAAAAGGAGGCGGCGAGGCCAGAACTGCTGGCCTTGTCCCCACTCCGGCCCTGCTCCCTGCAGGCAGCGGCAACACGGGGTGCTGGCCGAGGGGGACAGAGGGGACAGCAGGGCAAACTTCCCCCACCCCACTCCTGGGAGACAACGGCAGCACGGGGTGGTAGGTGGCGACGCTCCGTCTGTCTCCCCACAACTGTCATTCCTAACAGCCAATGAGCTAGTGCAAATAAAGCGTCACAGACAGACAGACTAAGGCTTTTATAATATTAGAATTGGACCAACTACCTAGATGAGATAGAGTTAGACAAGCCTTCAGCTACAAGACATTCTTGAAAACTAGTCCCAAATATGCAGTTGATCCAATAAAAAAAAAAAAAAAAAAAAAATATAATAACCCTAAGAAATCCTTGCCTCTCCCATAGTTCCTGGACCATCACAGCTACATCACTTTAACGCATACCCATTGGAAACTAACTTTAGGTTTCTATTTTTTTTTTTTTTATTTGGATTGTGCATATTAAAAAAAAAAAAATTAGTAGTTTTGTCAATGTACTGAAAGTACAAATAACTTTTCATTGTTTACTCTGAAGCAACTCTGTTTTGAAGTGATGAAGTTTTTATAACACCAAGAGCAAAGTTTAATAAAGATACAATTATAACCCCTTATGCACATGCTAACTTTAGTCAAGAAGGCTCATGAAAGTGAGGAGTCATGTACTGAGAAGTTACTGTGTTTAACCAAATCTATGATGACCCCAATAATTAGATTCTATACATAGAAAATTTACTGTTGCAAGGGGGGAAAGGCAGCCTGACCCTTGCCCCCATCATCTGTCCCTCTGTCACCTGTCCTCCTCACAGTGCATCCACACCCTGCTGCCAGTGCCCTGCCCCCTCTGCCTCCCTCCCCTCCATCATTTGCATTCAGACATGGCTCCAGCCCCAATCCTGCTGTGGTGTGGTGGGGCTAGAAATGAAGCTACCTTGACTTTGTGCCCCAGGGCAGAATGGGGCAAGATCTGTGCTTGACAATAAGCTGGCAGGGGAAGTGGGGTGGGAAAGGGGGAGGAAAGAGTAGGGCAGAGGCTGTGAGGGGCTTGCAGAGTGCAAGTCAGGGGTTGCTGTGCCTCCAAGCCAAAGTTAGGGCCTGAGTCACTGTCACCACAGCCACCTGCTCCTTCCCCCACCCCCACTTTGTACTTAAATCCAAAATGAGAGGCTTCCCCACCACCCACATGTTGAATGAGGAAGAAAAATGTTGTCTTGGATTCAAGTAATTCCTAATAATAGTATGGCCCAAACGGTAACAAGCCAAGTTTCTCTCTCCAGCTTATCTATGCTGCTAATATCATGCTTATCAATAAAGTATTTGGAGGGCCTTAAAGGGCATTAAGCAACATGATTAACCTCTGCCATCCATTTGTTTTCATATCCTCTTCCCTTGCACTGTTTCAGAAGGGCAACTCCAGGTTCAGTGAATCCTCCTTCTGGCAAAACTTAGCGATGACACGGTTTACAATCCCCAATGCCACCACCAGCTCATTTTACACCAGCTACTGAATAATCAGATAACCCCTGCTCACTTGCAACCTTGACTGTCTCCAAACTAGTTAATTTGCTTCCTTTATGACTTCTGTGAATAATATTCCTGTTGCAATGCCATGTTGGTGTAGTTCACCAAGTAACTGTCCAGTGATGAACATTTTCTAGATGAGGGGTCACATCTCACCCCCGTTAATCTACAGCTAGGCCTGAAATCTGACACACTCCAAAGTGTCGGCGTCACCCCCGCTCTGCTCCCCTACAGCTCTCCTCTGCCATTCAGAAATCCATCCCACTAAACTGAATCAAGCCACAGACATAATCACAGTACGGTTAATCTGAACTTCCAACACTATCATGTAATTAAGAGAAGACACAGAAAGCCCAACCTGTAGTTTAGAATGTATTATTTATGACTGCAAAGTGATTAGCAGCCACAGGGGCCAAACATGATGGTTATCCCACAGAGTATCACTCTCCTATGGCGCCTGGGATCCCCCTTTGAGGTATCAGGGGTAGGAAAACTTAGAAAAAAGAAAAAGCAAGAGCAGCTTGCTGCAGAGCCTGCAGGGAGGGATGCTGGGTCTGCACCAACGTCACTAGGGCACACACTGGGCTGCGCGGCTTTTAAGAGTCCCCAAAGCACGTAAGACCCCGCCGCCCCGCGCTGCCTTCCCGCTGTCCCGGCGCTGCGGAGGCTTCAGAGCCGCCCGAGCAGGGGCAGCAGCGGCGATGGGCTACCCGGCCGGCCCCCGCTACGCAGCTGCGTGGGGGGCTGCTCTGCCCCCACCCCCGCGCCGCGGGGAAGCAGCGGGGGGCGAGGGAAGTCCGACCTGTTTGGGGACTTTTAAACCCCCGCGGCCCGAGGCTCCCCGGGGGCAGCACCGCCGCACCCTACGCACCACAGCGCCCGGCCCGGACAGCCCCGCTCTCACCTGCGTCCCAGGCTGCCGCCCCCAGGCCCCGGCGCGCCGCCTCCTCCACTGGCTACCGAGACGACGGGCTCGGCTGACAGACAGACCACGCCCCCGCCGCCGCTACTGCCCCACCCTTCCTGAAACAGGGGCATGCCGGGATGTTGGGATCGGCCTGGCCCTTTAAATCCTGCTGCTCCACCGCGTCTCTGGGGCGGGTGTGACGTCACCCGGGAGAGGCCCGCGGGCACAAGGCGGCTGCACCCGTTTGGGAGCGGCGTGCGGTGTCGGGCCTGGCCGCGCTTCGGCTCCGTGTTACTGGTCTGGAGCGCTGCTGGGTGTTGGGCGACACCAGCCTTGCCCCAAGGGTTTCGTAAAGGACGGCTCGCCTGCTCGTGCAGTCATAGAGAAGCAGGGCTGGAAGGGACCTCCAGAGGGCATCTAGTCAACCTTATGTGATCACACACTTCTGCAGGGATGCCCGAGCCAACAGTCCCTTAATTAAAAATGAAAGGAACTAATAAGAATAGGATGTTTTCCAAGAGGATTCTTCAACTCATGGTCTTGGGTATGGGTATAAAATGCATTCAACTGGAGGGATTGGTGGCAACATGGTGGAGCTACTTGTGGCAAGGTAGCTGCTATAAAATACCAGTGTTGCAACCTCAAGAGTAAGGGAAATTTAGGGCATCTCAGAACCCTAGCCCCCACTGCCTTGTGGGTATTCCTTGGCTGAAAAAAAGGCTAAGGGACATCACTCTGATAGAAATGTGCCCTCCAACAAATCTGCAAATTCTGCTAAATACTTTGTCACTAGTACATGAAAAAGGAAAGGAAAGACTGAAGATTGTTTTATCCCTTGGGGTATATTCTTTATTCAGTTTTTCAATAGTTATGGCCACACTGAAGACTTTTAATGACAGTTGTAATAGTACTTAAGAATAATAAATATAAAAAAGGGTGCACAGAAGCAACTCAAACAATCTCTTCCTATGTTTTTGTTTATAACTCAGAATATAATGGACAAAGCTGCTCATAAAAATGGCTGGCTAACAATAAAATCCATTGATCTGTATTTTTGTCCATTCATTGAATTTATTCTCCATAGTGGGTATGAGAAGAAAGTCAGCAAGCTGATGCTTCGGACTCCCTTTTTCCCCCTCGCTCCTGTATACATGTAGAAAACATTTGATCAACACACTGAGTTATCCATTTTATTTGTTCCTGTAAATGTTTATTTGCTCATTACCTCATACACTTTTATGGATTATGACCTTGTTATATGCATGCTGCACAACAACTTCCCATTTCAGTTTTCTTTAGCTCATAAATACTCCTAATAATATTTTGCAGCAAATGAACCATCTATTTGAGTACTGTAGTAGCCACTTCTGGATGGCTTTTTGGGAAATCTGCTTCTGTGCAGATTTTTGGGAAATCTGAATCGTGTGATGAAACCTGACAAAATATGATACACATAAGATTATGCTTCTGTGTACTGGGAAAATATATGCTTATGACCACTTTCAACATGTTGCGTGGTGATTTCTTGTTAAGTGTTCTTCAAACAACAGCAGGACTCAAAAAGATCCTCAAATATGAAAGAAGCTGTTACTCTAGCTCCTTGAAAGCCCTAAGATCTTGTTCCCACTGACTGAATACATATTTAGGTTTCTAAACCACACTGGACATGAATCCATAAGCACAGCTACAAACTGCCAATTCCACAATCAAGAGGAAAAAATGCAATTGATCAATGCCTAATGAAAAATTTTCTCTAGCTAAGTCCCTTACCCATTCATATCCAATGTTCTTTCTATTTTCTACCCTATGAACCTGTGACAGGATCACACCTGTCACCACTGCCCAAATGCCACAAACGTGCCTTATGCCCTGGGGGCCACATCACACTCTCCTGCCATGACTTGATGTTCCAGTAAGTGAACCTGTATTTGCCTGGAGGTGATACAGTGGTTCTCTGTGGGCCAGATGTGAACGTGGTGGTGTATCTTCGCTCCTCCTCCCCTACATCCCACCCCTTTCTGCTCATGTGTTGTCACCACTCTTGTTGGTATGGTATAGGTGTTGCTGCCTGATCTTCCTTGCAGGGAGACATTGAGGCTTGAATCCACATGGGTCCAACCACTGCTTACGGTTTTGCAAAAAAAAGGAAAACTAAACGGATACAGTGAACTCAAATGGCTTGGACCTGGCATCCAGGCAGGGTACTGGTGCCTCGCTGCCCTGAGCTTCTTCCCCTTTCCAGGTTGTGAGCTGCTTCAGGCCTTGCACGCCCCTCTTGTCCCACTATCAGACCCCTTGTGCCTCTTGGCAATGTGCCTTCTCCAGGCAGGCCCTTCCCATTCTGGCACTGGGCCAGGTCTGGCTTCACCTCAGGGTGGCCAATACCATGCCCATGTAAAGCCAACACTCCCCACCCTTCTGCCTACTGGTGAGCTCCCAGTGGGCTCGTGCAATCTGAATGCTTCTTCAGGGGCTTTCCCTAGATCCCCGTTGTGGGTTCCCTCTGGATCCTATCCCTGGTCCCACTGGGCTAGGGTCCTCTGGCATGTGCTCCTGGGCAAGTGCCAGCCCCTGCTGCAATGTGTGCAGGGCATGGCCTGGATCTGCCTGCTAGGAGGCCTTCCAGCGGCATCTTTCAGGTGCTCCTGAAAGCTGTGGTAGAACAGTACTCCCAGCTTCTCCATGGATCCCAGCTGGAAGAGATGCATCTGGTTCTTCAGCTGCCACCTGGCGGGTACCCAGTTGCCTACCCCCTATGGGGAACACATCTGGCACCCCTTGGATCTCCCCTGCAGTGGGGAGAGCGTCCAGCTCTTCCCTGGGTGCCCTAACATGGGTGAGAACAGCCAGACGCACTTCCAGTGTCCCAGATGCCATTCCCCATGCCAGTCTCTGGCTCATTTTTGGCCCACTGCCCTAGGACTCTGGGCCAATTGGAGGTGCACTTATGGTTGCTACAGTGCTGCCCAGCTCAGGTGCAACCCGGTAAGTGGAGCATGCGCTTGTTACAGAAGTGCCATCAACAATCGCCAGAAAAATTAACTAAATTCTATTGAAATTCTCTGTTCTCTCAAGTCAAGTCCAACAAATCTCTTCTCAGATAAGGGTGCTAATGGTTTACAATACTCATTATATTTCTGATCTCAACAGAAACTGAAAGAACATGTTTTGGTCAAACTGTTTCCACACCATCATAATTTTGCTGTTCATAACCACTTTAACATATTGTGCAAACTGGAACTATATTCTCATTTTTTAATTAATAAGCTAATGACTACAGACCATGAAACAAATGTTTCAAACACTGTGTAGCAGGCTTGCCTTTTGGAGCTTGGGTTGAATCCCAGGCTTGAAATCTTGCTGTTTTGATTGGTGGAGCCCATCTACCAATCAGGAGGCAGCAAGAGGAGTGAAGTCATGCCCCTTTCCTGAGGGGAGGAGGAGAGGAGTTTTCCCCCCATCCCAGACCTGATTGAAGACTGCAACACTCAGGTCTGGAAGACTTCGGGGCGGAGCCCTGGAGAGTATAAAAGGAGCTGTGTGTCCAGCATGAGGAGAACACATCTGAGACAGAGAAGAGAGAAGAGCGGGGCTTAGAAGAGCTGAGGAGAGCTGCTTCACAGGGCAAAGCAGTAGCCCGGAAGCACCCCTGAAGACTTCCATCAGTGGAGAATGGCAGACGGCTCCAGCAGCTAGGCTTTCAGCGTGCAGCGCGGTGCACAGTGTCCAGACCCTGGGAGCTACATGAGGCGGCTCAGGTCTGCAGCTTCTGGCGCGCGGCCAGAGACATGGTGCACAGGCTGGTGCACGGAGTAGGACCTTTGGAGTGCTTGGGTGGCTCAGGTCCCCAACCACCAGAACAAGCCTGGGAGCTTGGTGCAGGAGGCACTGCACGGAGGGTCCGGGAGCGGACCGAGCCTGGTGCTGCACGAGGCAGCCCAGGCCTCCAACCCATAGCAAAAGGTTGAGTCCAGGGAGCCAGACAGTGCTCGGGCTACTGAGCCAGCAGACAGGGCTGAGCCAGAGGCCCCAGAAGCCCTGCATAGAGGAGCCCTGTTCCAGGGGACAGTGACCCCCACGAAGCCCATTGCAGGCGAGAGAGCAGTTTGGTGCAGAGGACGAGGGCCACTCTCCAGGCCTGGGAGCAGTGAGTTGCAAGGAAAAAGGATTCCCACAGGGGAGGGGGAGTTCCCCCTGATTAGTTAAGGGCTCCTAAAAGTGGAGGTCCCACTGGGAGGGTCCCCCTAAAGTTATCAGCTTCCTTGAAGAGCTGGGGAAAGAGCCCAAGGACACTGGGGCTTCCCCTTGGGATTAAGTTTATCTTTGAGGATCTTGCGCCATAAGTGGTATGATGTTGTGCCTTATATTTTGTGAACTCCCATGTTTGTAAATTAGTAGATGAGTAGAGTCCTAGGGCAACCCCCTGTTGCTATTATTTCACCTGTTGTTTATTTGTATTTATTTATGGCTTATTTATTGTTCACCCATACTTATCCATAGTTTATCTGTTAGCTATCTATGTTTATTTGGGGGTTTATCTGTTTCAGGTCAGATACTTACCTGTGACTTACCTATATCTGGAGCACTGGTATAAGGTTTTATGGCATTTACCCAGAAGGTATTGTTTATGCTATTTGTTTAGATATCATATTGTCATATATATCATATATATATTGTATATATGTTATATCCATGAAACTGAGCGGTCTGTAGTTCCCCCACAGCACACCTGCCAGCTAACAGTTCCCTTCAATTGGAGAAAGGGAGTATATACCTGGGCTACAACTAGGCTGATTGCAAGTCCATCAGTGATAGCATCAGATAAAGTCCTTGCTGGATCTCGGTATAACCTTCCCTTTTTTAAAAAAAAGTACAGTTTTTTTAATATGCATAAGTTCACACACTGAAGATTAAAGCTATAGAAGTACCCACACAGTTAACAAGATGATGGTCTTTCAGGTCTAGAAACCTTTTTCAAAAAACTGAAAGCTTAATTTTTGTAGAAACACATACCTGAGACTCCCACACTTGACAGCTAATACTTATTACTTGCCAATGGCAAGGAGAAGAGCAGATTTTTCAAACATGGATTAAGTAAATTGCAGGTTCTTTTATAG